TCCATTTCTTACTTTGCGGCTGCACGCGTAACAGCGCAGGACGTGAAAACATTGGGATATTTTTGGGCAAGCTCATCGGGGCGCGTGCTCACGACAGGGACAGGAGTCACATCAGGCACTTTCCCACCTGCTAAATCGTTCCCCATGATGACAGAAACCCCCGCTATTGGGAAACCAGGGCGCACCCCAACAATTGCGTCCCCGGACCACAAATCTGACTGAATCACAATCCTGTGCAGAGGTACACCGATATCCTGCATATTAAAACTGTGCACAGGGACATTAGAACCAACAGCAGTGTCACCTGACAGCTGCAACACGCCCTCAAAAACAAACGATTGGGACGCTGCAGTGTCCCTTAATATTTTCACTGGGACCTTTTCACTGTTAGCGTAAACAGCCACAAACCCATCGATAACAAAAGGCTTAAAATCAGAGTAATCATAGGACTTTCCTGGCAAATCTAAATGGCTAACCTGGTTGACAGTTTTAATCAAAGCAACAGGTTTTGAATTTTTCTTCTTTACCGCAGGGCAACTAGAAACAATGTCCTTTCTTTTGCAATAAAAGCATGTCACCTCGTTAACCTTAAACTCACCCGTTTTAACGTTACCATTAGATTCAGAGCTAACGACATCTTCTGTAGGAGTGGACTCATTTTTAATAGCTTCCCTGCCATTACTGCTTTTTCCAAATTGACCAAAACAGAAAGGCCGCTCAAACACCGCCTTGTGCGTCAGCACATACTCATCAGCTAACCCTGCAGCCTTACACACGTTAGAAACTTTATTCTCATTCAGATAAGTAGCGACTTTCTCAGGAAGACCATTTTTAAAATCTTCCATCAAAATCAACTGTTTTAATTGATCAAAATGATTTACATTTTGAGAAGAACACCACCTGTCAAACAAGATTTCTTTTTTCCTGACAAAATCAACATAAGTCTGATTATAATCTTTCCTCAACTTACGAAATTTTTGTCGGTATGCTTCTGGGACCAGTTCATACGCTCCGAGAATAGCAGATTTAACCTTCTTAAAATCTAAACTGTCCTCGGCAGAGAGAGCTGCATAAGCCTCCTGTGCTTTCCCAGTTAGGGTACACTGCAATAATACAGTTCACACATCCTTTGGCCATTTCAGTGTTTCAGCAATTCTTTTGAAAATGGTATAATACTTATCAACATCCTTTTCATTAAAAGCACCAAACGTATATTCTTGCGAGTTTTGACATAGGTATTTGCTCGGGACTCACCTAGCCCAATGCCAAGCTCCAATTCCCGCAATCGAATTTCAGTCTTCTTCTCCAGCCTCTGCTGCTCCAAATGTAACTCCTTCTAGCGTAACGCAAGTCTTCCCAACTCGACTTCGAGTTCCTTTTAAACGAACCGCCTCATTGGTTTCGCCAGATGAGGACAAACGTGGGCTTTTGGCCAAAACGGCCAAAACGAAAAATACCCTGTTCAATCAAAGCTGACAATACTTCATTTTTAATCACCGCTTTTTTTGCTTTCTTGGTGATCATCACATTGTACTTTTCAGCTACAAGGAGCAACTGATCCTTTGTGCATCTATGCAAGGCTTCCAGCGTGGGCGCCTTGATAAACTCACCTAAGCTGAACTCCATACCTACCCAAAATCCTAAAGCCTACAATCCAAATCAAAGCACAAATGACCTACCCAAAATCCGCCTACCCCACAAAAGCTACTCCACCTGCAAAAACAAGTCAAACTAACGAAACTAAAGTCATAACAATTTGCCCAAATTATGTCACGAACGCAAAGTGGCACAGCCTAAAGTTACCGCAACTAAAACACAAAAGGCAACTAAGGGCACAACAAATGACTCCGTTAAAAAGGCTTTTTGCCAGTTTTGACGAGCCCCCATAAATATGTTAGGACCCAAAAAAATCCCAACATATTTAGAAAAGGACACGAAAACCAAAGTAGAATTTTAGAATTATTTTATTTTTGTTTGTGCAAAGATGTTTAAACCCAAAAAAAGAAACCCTACCTGTGCCCAAACCAAAAGTATCAACGGAAAGGTGGACCTGGTGAGCCGGCCAAAAGGAACAAAAGGGTGCGACACCGGGCCAACCCTATACAGGGCCGTAGGAGCCGGTGCCAGCACCCGTAACTAAAGACAAAAAAACCCAACAACCTAACCCCAACAGAAAAGCAAAAACAGGACAGCCGGTCCCACCAGGTCAAACAAAAGGCTAACGGCTAACAAAAGCTACCCAAACGATGGAGCAGGGTGCATCCCAGCGCGAGGCGTGTGCGCTTTTATTTAAGGCCTCCTGCCGGAAATGAGCCCAAAAAAAACTACAAAAAATTAACTTATAAGAACAAAACTAGGCAGAAATGCTACAAAAAATATAAACAATAAAAAGAAAGCAGGGAAAAACCAAAAAGTGCCCAAACGTAACAACGTTTCAGCCGTTGCTTTCGCTGCTTTTGTGGGTTAGATTCCTGATCTCTGTGAGTGGACTGTGAATTTGCACAAATCTATAAGAACTGTCTAAGTCCCTCCCCTTCTGTCCCAGGTGAGATCGACTAGTTTTGTTAATTATAAAAAAAAACAACATTAAACGTTCAACATGTGAAAGCTTCCACAAGAGCAGACCACCTCCCTGTTGCCATGGTTTCTATCTAATATTAATACAGATGGAAAAGTACATCATAATGGGAAAATGATTTAGCTCCCCTCTGGGATGATGACATCATCACATTCTAGAATCTAAAATAGTTTTGGAGCCTGAGAAGCTGTCGCCGTAGCAACGTGATGTTCTAATGCCGCCCTGGATCTCCATGGTGATAGAACTCTGCTTGATGACATCATCAGAGAAGCACGACGCTGCTTTAAAGTAAACTTTGAGTGACACAGTGAAATAAACACTAAAGTGACAGAATACTTTTACTAATACTTTTACTACTGCGACTACTACTTTATGACATCATCAACAAAGGACAAGCACAAAGCAATTTACTGCTTTGAAGAAGATTATAAGTATAACACAAAACAAACACTACAGACACAGAATACTGCCACTTTTACTTCGTGTACTGCGACTACTGCGTGTACTGCTACTACTGCATGTTTACACGAGAGATTTTCTCTCTCTCTACTGCATATTTAAACAGAAAAAATGAGCTGGCCTACGGTCACGCCCCAAATCTTAGAGACTGAGAACCAGGAACTGCACGAGAGGATCCAAAACTTAGAAAATCAGAACCCGCAACAAAACAAGACGATCCAAAACTTGAACAAGCAACAAAACGAGAGGATCCAAAACTTAGAAAATACGATCAAGCAACAAAACAAGACGATCCAAAACTTAGAAAATACGATCAAGCAACAAAACAATAGGATCCAAAACTTTGAAAATAAGAACAAGCAACAAAACGAGAGGATCCAAAACTTAGAAAATAAGAACAAGCAACAAAACAAGACGATCCAAAACTTAGAAAATAAGAACAAGCAACAAAACGAGAGGATCCAAAACTTAGAAAATACGATCAAGCAACAAAATGAGAGGATCCAAGACTTAAACAATCAGAACAAGCAACTAAAAGAGACGAAACAAAACTTTGAAAAGCAGAACCAGCAACACAACAAGACGATCCAAAACTTAGAAAATAAGAACAAGCAACAAAACAAGACGATCCAAAACTTAGAAAATAAGAACAAGCAACAAAATGAGAGGATCCAAGACTTAAACAATCAGAACAAGCAACAAAACAAGAGGATCCAAAACTTAAACAATCAGAACCAGCAACTAAACCAGACGATCCAAAACTGTGAAAAACAGAACCAGAAACAAAATGAGAGGAACCAAGACTTAGAAAATAAGAACAAGCAACAAAACGAGAGGATCCAAGACTTAAACAATCAGAACAAGCAACAAAACAAGAGGATCCAAAACTTAAACAATGAGGTCCAGGAACAAAACGTGATGATCCAAAACTTTAAAAAACAGAATCAGCAACAAAACAAGAGGATCCATGACTTTGAAAATCAGAACCAGCAACAAAACGAGACGATCCAAAACTTAAACAATGAGGTCCAGGAACAAAACGTGATGATCCAAAACTTAAACTATCGCTACCAGCAACTAGACGAGATAATCCAAAACTTAATCATTCAGAACAAAGATCTGTGCAAAAAGGAAATTTTTGAATTGAAAAGTTTTCGGTTAAGAACCAGAAGCTACAGGAGGTGTCCCACATGTTTTCGCGCATTCTCCACTTACACTTCTTATAAGAAGCGCATGTCCGAAGATCTGAAAAGTGTGGAGAACAGGTTATCGGAGGTGTAGAGAGACAGAGAGACAACGACAGAGGATCACAGAACTGTTGGAGGAGATGGAGATTCTCAGTGATGAACATGAAAAGATCAAACAGGAGAAAACACATCTGCAAGAGCAAATCCAGCAGATGTGTGAAGAGCTGCAGAAAGCCCACGCCGAGCTGGAGAGCTCCACGAAGACGTTAGCCGAGGAGCAGAGGAGAAACCAACTTCTCACACGACTGAAGGACAAATACGAACTCCACGACGAAGAAGAAGAATACGAGGACGAGAGCGCGAGAGGAGAGGAAGAGGAGACGGAGGAGGAGGAAGACGGGACAAACTAGATGAAACCCCAGCTCAGACCTGGGTTAAGCCGGGCGTACACTGTGCGATTTTTGACCCTTTTTGAGCCGATTTTTCGCTCGTGCGACTGTTTTGGGGATCGGGCCGAGTTTTGGCTTCATCGTGTGTCGTGCGTCGTGTAGTTTACATGGGGTAAAGAGAACCGATTAATGGATCACGACCAGCTCCCGATCGACATTCGTAGGTCGCAAGAAAATCAAACTTGTTTGAAATCCAGTCGCCTCTCGTGAGGATTTCGCTCTGTTGAAGTTCTTCCACGAGCCGATTAGCCAGAATCTGGCAGACTGTGCATGCACGGACACAGAAGCGGAAGTAGGATATGAAGTTGTGGAGGACGATGGCGGGCCGGCGAGTGTTTTGGACAGTGGACATGGAGGCGCAGCTCATCGAGCTTTGGCAGACTCACCCAAGCCTCTTCGATGTGGCCTCACAAGGCTACCATGACCGCAACAGAAGAGAGAAAAGTTGGGAGGACATTGCCGCTCAGTTGCAGCTGCCAGGTAATGTTTTTGTATAGACTAGCAAAATAGAAATGTAGTTAATTCGTTGTTGTTGTTGGTTTGTGCATGCGTGTGTGTGACAGAAAGAGACAGAGGAGCGAGAGCGATTTTGTGTAATATATTGGCTCCAGTAATTCAGATATCACTACACTACCAAGCTAGAATTAGCCTGCATTGTGTGTGTATATGAGTCAATGAAACCAATAATATTCTTTTTTAGCAAGCAGTACTTGCTAGTAGCAAATAAACAACATAAAGAACATGTTAATTGTATTTTTCAGTGAATGAGGTGAAAACCCGCATGACATCACTGCGCACGCAGTACGGGAAACTTTTGAAACCCAAACCCAGCGGCAGTGGACAAAAACCTCTGACCTCCAAACAGACGTGGATTCTACAGCACTTGGATTTTTTGAAGGCCCATGTCATACACAGGCATACCGAGTCCACACTCAGAGTAAGTCCATAACCACGTTGTTGGAATAAATAAATAAAATATATATAAAATGTATAATAAATATTTATATTTAAGAAAATTAAATGCCACAGTTAATAATAATACATTTTTTTTTAAAGCAGCCCTGAATTCAATGTAAATTATCCTAGTTATTATTATTATTAGATTATATAATATATTGTAGTCTAGATCAAAATCTGACCTAAACAACACTGTTAACAACTTTTTTGTGTAATCACTTTCTCCCTGTCTGCTTCCTGTGCTGTTTCTTACAGCTTGCTACAGAGTCAGAGGACACAGGCCCAATGGAAGAGGGAGATGAGGATCAATCAACTGTGGAAACTGAATCAGATGTCTTTACTTCTTCAGACACCGCCAGTCCGGTTTCTGTGACGCAGGAAGAAGAAAACGCCTCCAACAGTTCAACAGTCACACCGTCCACAGATCAGCCTGTCAAAAGACCCAAAGTGCAGAAAGTGAAGCCAAAATCCACAGAGCACAGCATTGAAATGGCCAAACTGTCCTTGCTTCAGCAGGTCCAGAACACACTTTCTGGATCTAATGCAGATTCTGAGGAGGTATTTGGTCAACAGGTAGCCTCAGAGTTGAGAAACATTAAGGACAGAGCTCTACAGTTGAGGCTCAGAAGAAACATAATGAACATTATTTATGACACACAGGAGGCAGAGCAGGCTGGTCATTCTCAATTTGCAGGTCCACATCCTACACCAGGTCCACAACCTAGGCCTTACACAACTACACCCATGTATCCCATGCACCCTTATCAGGCCCAGCCACCCTCCCAAGACTACCAGGCCCCATCAACCCAGCCAATGTCCTTTCTGAAAATGATAAACTCTGAGTAGCTGGGTACCTTAAAACCAAAATGTCCAACATTAGTATTTGGTCGGCTATTTCTCAGTTAACTTGTTCCTGCACAGGCTGAAAAGCTGTAGTTTCATTGCACCAAGTGCATATAAATTTAGTTTGACACAGTGTGTATGCTAAAGTGACTTTGCCATCTACCTCAATGCTGCAAGGTGGTACAGAATTGTTGGCACATTCTGTGAATCGAAAAAAATATTTTTTTATTTTCACAAAACAAGTCATTGTTGTGATGCCCCACAGAGGTAGATTTATTTATGCTAGTAATTACAAAGGGAATTATTTGTGTTATTTATTTCATACCTCAGTTTTTATACAAAAAGAAAAAATATTTAAGTATGTGTTACCAAGTTAGTGTTTCCAAAAATAAAGAAAAAAAGAACCTTTCTTTACATTTTGTGAATTTTCATTTCAAAATTCTCATAAACCAAAAAAATTCTTCACAGTAAGGAGAAATGAGGTTTGAATCCATCCATAGCCCCGTTGCTGGAAGTCAAAGAGTTCACACACAGTCCTCTGTTATCTCAAACAATAGGGCTACCGATTGATTCACATCAGATTTGTCTTAACTTTGGCCTACACCATGTGTTCTTGCCAAGATACACTTCCTGCAGGTGACACAAAGTACTGGCAAAGGACATCTCGTTGTTTCTTTGCTTCAACTGAAGGGTTCCTAGCTTGGCCCATGGAAACAGACTGAAGCCCTCCCTCCCTTCTCCATGCTCCTTCCATCAACTGATGATTGGCATCTTCGCAGTCTATGTAGCCAGGTGGTACATAGGCATCAGCGCTGTGGTGGCGGAGGAAGTTGTGCAAACAAAGACATGCAAAGAGGATAGTGACAACCTTGTCAGGATCCAGGCAAATTGTTGTTCTGAATACTCTGAATCGATTAGCAAGAATTCCAAAAGCATTTTCTACCACACGCCGTGCTCTTGAAAGACGGTAGTTGTAGATTCTCTGATTTTGGTTGAGATTGCGTAAAGGATATGGTTTCATTAGATCTGCTCGTAGGGGATAAGCTTCATCTCCAACCAACATATATGGCATCATGGCATCAGTGTGTGGCAAGGTATCAGCAGGGGGGAAGCTCAGCATGCCTGTGTCCATCGCATGTTTCAGGTCGGAATGGGCAAATACTCCAGCATCAGACACCCTTCCCTGTGTCCCAGCGCTGGCATACAAGAACTTGTAGTTGGCATCAACTACAGCCATAAGAATAATGGAAAACCTAGATTTGTAGTTGTGAAACATGCTTCCACTCTTGGCAGGGGGTTGAATGAATATGTGTTTCCCATCAATGGCTCCTAAGCAATGTGGAAAGTGCCACTTGTCCGCAAAGTCTTTAGCAACAGCCTTCCACTCAGAGATAGTCGATGGTGTCTGTGGAACACATGCAAAGGTGATACACAAAATTAATCTCAGGTGAATTAATGTTTTCCATTTCTTAACCACCCATTCAAAACTGTCACAGTTCACTTCACCTTTTATTTACACATTTCACAAAGACTGAATGAATACATCCAGAAATCAGAGAAATGTTTCTGTTGAAAATGTATTGCTTAATTAACTGATGGGACATTTTTTAATAATGTTTGAGATAACAGCTATCACCCTGGCTTTGATCTGTTTGACCTGTTGCCCTCAGGGAGGTGCTACAGGGGCATTAGCACAAAGAGAAACAGGCCATGAAGTGAAATTTACCTTCAAGTAATCTTCCCGTAGTACAGAGGTTAGGGCTGTGCATGTTTCCATCACAATCCTGCTCACTGTGTGGTGCTTCCAATTCTATACTGAAAACTTAACGAGTTGAAGGTTTCACCTGCCAAAGTGAAAAGAGTGTCAAAGATGTTGATTTTCTCTTCTTATATACTTTAACTTCTTGGGTTCTTCTTAAAGACAATACAGTAAAGTGTATTTTCCTTGTTGACATGTTTCGGCTGCTTTAAAAAGAACCCAAGAAGTTAAAGGTGAAGAAAGTGTCTTTTAAATACTCTAACATAGATTTTGATAGTTAATGTATGGGGAGGTGGACAAAGATGGATGTTGATAGACTGACAGATTGTGACTGATGGATGGAGGAGAAAAGAATGTAGTAGTAGTAGTAGTATGAAAGTGATTTGACAGATGTGCAGTTAGAGGGTAAGTGCAACTGATATAGAAAAGGGAAGGTATGATGAAGTTACCGGGCTGTATGTAGTTCAGTGGGTGAACTGATCTACAAGCTTAAATAGATAGATGACTTTGCTTCATGTCCACCTCTCTATATTTTAATTGGGAATGTTACTGAAATGTAATTTACATGCACACACTTACCTGTTGCCAAAAATCGAAGGGTAACAGACAACCTCTCCCTGGGACTGATGGCCTTCCTGAGATGAGTATCTCTCTTGAGGATATGTGGAGTTACCCTCTCCAGGAGGTAATTGAAGTCGTGCACAGACATTCGGAGAAGGTCCCGAAAACCCATCATGTCATCTACCTATTAACACATAACACCCCATATGAATACAGCATTATAGATGTGGGATGCTATTGCCCACTGAATAGTCTGTAACTGATTGGTGGTGAAATCTTTTATGACTTAGACATAACACAGAACTGACACTGATACTTAACCAGTATTGTAGACCTGTAATGGACCTGGATGTCACCTTTGAGTAGAACTACCTCCCTCAAAAAATCCTTTTGTAGGTGTTCAAGCCAGCCACTACAATGCTACACTTGTACAAGTTACTTGGCTAGTTTTTACTGTGCTTAAAAATACCAAATCTAACAAGAACAGAGGTGTAATTAACACAGCTCTGTGTGTCTGACATTGATTCAATACTATGATAGCAAACAAAACTAGGTCACTTCTGAAGTTAGTTGTGATTGCCCGGACCATTGATGTCAACAACACAGAACAGTGTTGTTATAAGTTTGGTGAATAACTTGATGCTACTTACCTCCAGTTCCCTCTGAAGAACTGACAATCCATACTGCCCACGTCTGCCCAGCCATTTCTTGGACCAGACTCGTCGCTTCTTCTTTTTGGGCTTGTCTGAGCACAGAATGGCACAAATTGCCAAGGCAGCGCGTCTGTTTTTTCCGTGGCTCAGCATTGTGTCTCCGCCAATAGATCCATGGTCTCCGCACATCTGTGGTTTTCTAATTCCGTGGTTTTCTTCTTCGTGGTTTTCTACTTCCGGAACAACAACTTTGACAACTCCGGTCATTAAGTGAATGTACAGTGTGAGCAGGCAAGTCGCATCCGAGCATCGGTTCGTTCAGTGTGAGAACATGATTCGTGAGCTGTGAACTTTTAAACCCTGCGATTTGGTCGTACAGTTTAAGCTGGGGCTGAGTGACACGACCGAAAATATCGCACAGTGTACGCCCGGCCTTAGACCTGGGTGAGATCAGGTTTAGATCGGGTTTTCAGACCTGGTTTAAACCTGGTTTAGTCCTGGATTAGACCTGCCGGTATTACGACATCCGTCCAGTATATGACATGTCTCTATTTACTCTATTTTTGTTTAGCACTCATGCCTCACAGCAAGAAGGTTGTGGGTTGTTTCTCTTCGTGTCTGGATGAGTTTCCTCCGGTTTCCTCCATCAACACAAAATCTGCTCCAGGTCCATGAACAGTTGATAGTCAAGGACACTTAAACACAATCAATTCAATCATTGTGTCCTTAGGCAAGACACTTCACACACATTGCCTCGTATGAAAGTGGTGTGTGTGTGTGTGTGTGTGTGTATATATATAATATATATATATATATATATATATATATATATATATATATATATATATATATATATATATATATATATATATATATATACTTCACAGTGAATCAAGTGGGTTTTTTCAAGTTCATAACATTTACAGTTTCATTATCTTACTGGTTTTGCAGTGATGTTTAGCCTCTGCACATTCACCGGCTGTAATGAAATATGATCACACTTGTTGAGTGTCAGACTTCGAGTCTGAGACGAGACCGAGATCAAGCTCCAGCAAGACCGAGTCCAAATGTGCTCGAGTCTGAGACGAGACCAAGACTGTAAAAAAGCGGTATCGAGGCTGGTCTCGAGACCAAGACTGGTTTACTACAACTAGGGATGGGCATTCGATGAAATTGTATTAATCGATTGTCGGGAGAATTAACGATCAATTTTCGATTAATCATTAACATATAAACCATAACCACTATAGAGCCACATCAGCCTGTTTGACATTATCATGTGTTTGTGCAAGTCTTAAAGAAACGAAACATAAAACCACATAGCTAATTTGCATAAACTAAGCGGAGAAAAAAAATAAAAATGTTCTTGTGCACTGATGTGGTTCCAGCGTCTGTTGGACTAAAGGACACAACTCAGTGGAATATGAATGTTCTTTCTGTGACAGTGGGATGTTGATGCTGAAGGTGAGTCAGGTCTGTGTGCGTGTCGCGATGTTTTCAAAGATCGTACATGTGCAGGTTTAGTGCAGCTCTTTATGTTGCAGTAACCAGGATACTGCGTAAACATGCAACATGATGAAACCGGGATACAGATTTAAAGTGCCAGTGGAAGTTGGTTTAAAGAAGAGGTTGTCAAACTCAATGGGGCGCAGTGTTTTAGTGCAGTACAGTTTTTTTTTAAAATGTTTTATTTTTTATATATAGCTTATTTTAAGCCTAAATTAACAATAATCAGATCAAATGGAGATACATTTATAAAAAAAAACAAAAACAAAAAAACACTGATATATAAATGTGCCAAAATAACTGTAAAATACAAATAAATTAAAATAAATAAAAGAAAATGACAAAGATGGTCTTGATTTGGTCTTGATGGGCCGTGGTCTTGGTCTTGTCTCGGTCTCGACCATGGATCTATTAAAATAAGTGGATACAGTGTTGCTGCTTGTAGCTGCCTCCAGTTGACATAGTGACACTCACTGGAACTACAGAGGAAAAAATCCCATGGGCCGAGACAAGATTTTTCTCATGGAGCTCAATGTAATCACAAACTGCTCATGTTCGACTGACAGGGACCTACAACTTTTAAAAATGTCAGATTTTGTGGCGATTTTTACCTATTTTGAGATCATACTCTTTTTCTAAGCTCAAAATCCTACAATTGTCTTAAAAAACACGTTATAATCGTTCCTCCGGCTTCGCTCTAGCTCCTCTCGCTCTGATTGGTCAAAGTGATCACGTGATACAGAAGCCCGTGCATTCTTGTTTGCCTGTGGAAGAAAAGACAGTACTGCACATGTTCTGTCGGCCCACAGCCACCGGAAGAACATCGCCGGGCTAAAGGTGAATCTGGGATCATGCGCCATTGAGCTCGGCCTATTGACTTGAATGGGCGGCCATTTTGGAACCTGGGGGCTTGGTCTCAACCCTCAGAGGTCTTGGTCTTGTCCTGGTCTTGGTCTGGATTAGTGCGATCTTAACTACAACACTATAATGTCACCGATAGAAAAGAAAAGATGAGAGAAAAACATCTATGGATTTGACTTTTGGAGATTTCTTATAAAAACATGTGATTATTTCCGAAAGTGCCTCTTGTCTCTTGTCATTGATAGTGTGTGTGTGTGTGTGTGTGTGCGTCACATCTCATGATACACTCGTGCATTAGCATTAGTGCTAACTGTCCCTGTGAGGGCCTCCTCGCTCCTGTGCTCTTAATTGTTTTGTGTGTGTAATATCTTTGTGCGTTCATGTTTGTCCCTCCTTGAACCGTCACCTTATCGTGGTGGAGGGGTTTGAGTGCCCGAATGATCCCAGGAGCTCTGTTGTCGGGGGCTTCATGCCCCTGGTAGGGTCACCCAAGGCAAACAGGTCCGGGGGGACTGGTCAGACGAAGAACGGTTCAGAAGCCCCTTATGATGAGCAACACGCAGAGGCCAGTTACGTCGCCCGGATTGGCATCACCGGGGCCTCACCCTGGAGCCAGGCCTGGGGTGGGTGCTCGTCAGTGAGCGCCTGGTGGCCGGGACTTCCCCCACGGGGCCCGGCCGGGCTTAGCCCGAAGGAGCGACGTGGGGCCGTCCTCACGTGGGCCCATCCTCACGTGGGCCCACCACCCGCGGGAGGAGCCATATGGGGCCGGTGCAGAGAGATCTGGGTGGCAGTCGACGGCGGGGGCCTTGGCGACCGGATCTCCGGACATGGAGACTAACTCTGGGGACATGGAATGGGGAAGGAGCCTGAGCTTGTGCGGGAGGTTGAGCGTTACCGACTAAATATAGTCGGCCTCACCTCCACGCACAGTTTGGGCTCTGGAACCCAACTCCTTGAGAGGGGCTGGACACTCCATTTCTCTGGCGTTGGCCGCGGGGAGCGGCGGCGGGCTGGTGTGGGCTCATTGCCCCACAGCTCAGCCGCTGTGTGTTGGAGTTCACCCCGGTGAACGAGAGGGTCGCGTCCCTGCGCCTTCGGGTCGGGGACAGGTCTCTCACTGTGGTGTCGGCCTACGGGCCGAACAGCAGTGCAGAGTACCCGGCCTTCATGGAGTCCTTGGGAGGGGTACTACACAGTGCACCGACCAGGGACTCCGTTATTCTCCTGGGGGACTTCAACGCCCACGTGGGCAACGACAGTGACACTTGGAGAGGGGTGATTGGGAGGAACGGCCTGCCCGATCTGAACCCGAGCGGTGTTTTGTTATTGGACTTCTGTGCTAGTCACGGTTTGTCCATAACAAACACCATGTTCGAGCACAAGGGTGTCCATAAGTGCACATGGCACCAGGACACCCCAGGCCGGAGGTCGATGATCGACTTTGT